GTCTATATCCGTGGCTATTAATTTTCTTCGAAATGACAATTCTGGAGGTGGTGGCAGAGTAACTACGGGCTTGGTGCGAGGAATAAGGAAGTAGTCCAACTCAACTTCAAGTTCTTCACGTGATATTGGAATTAGGCCTTTACCTACAATTGGCTTGGCAAAATAAGTAAAAGTATTGCTGAGACAAAACGCAATTACGGCATGTACGCGGTTACCATCATCGGGTATCGGCACTTTCCCAGTACGATAAAATTGAAGAATGTAGCGAAAAAGATGGCAATCTCTATCAATAAAATATTCATCATTCGTTGACTTTTGTACGGTCAAGTTTGTATTCTCACGAAACATCATTCCAAGTCTGGTCTCAGGATAAGCTGTTAGAGTATGGCGATATGTCTCATACTTGATGAATTTAATAACGTTTATTAAAGTAATGTTTTTGTTCCGTCTTTATTGCAAAGCACAACAGGCTTACCCTAACTCCTCCAACGTTGAGAATGATGCGCTCTTTAGCTGGTTGTTCCTGATTATCATCGATTGTTTCCTGTTCAACTGCTGACATAAACTTGGATTCACTTTAACAAGTAATGTTCTATGGTGCACTAAAACTCGACAATGTTTCAATTTCTTCGACGCAGTGTAACGAATAAACAGCCCAATAAAATTCAAGAATTTAATATCATAGGGGTATGCTGCAACAGAACTTTTGACGTCAAAGATTTACATCCTAGTTTTTACATGTAATGACCCAATATCCAACAAATAGTACTAAAGGATTTAGAACATATATTGATTTCAGTAATGGCTTTAGTCATACCACAATGATCGATAACATATCACCTGATGTAAGTCTCGGCGTAAGATTGGCAGCACAATTATTGGCTCACCAAGATCTTGGCGAATTCCTTAGCTCATACGATATCAGCAGATTGCATAACCTCACTTTCGCAAGAGTCGCATCGGAAATCGCACGCATCTATCACTTGCAAATATCTGAACCCATGGCCTTCTTCATTCAACTGGATTAATGTCAACGTAGGGGTTTTTACAAACAATAGCAGCGCAACGCTCTTCAGCAAGTATGTGACAATCGACTTCTACATCAAGCACATCGTGCGGGTTCCTTCACGCATGAATAAAGATTCCGCCTGGCCTACTATTGTGCAGGAGATGATGCGCGCCATTGGTTGCTACTACTACATGTGCCTGCAGGTTGAAAAGAGAGAATGCGCCCCTAATGATTAATACCGCAAGTAATGGTACGAGTATATTGGATACTTTTGACAATATATCTGACTTTGGCAAGCCGAATCTGTCTCTTCAACCTCTATCCCGAAAAGCATCACGGGAGATTGTTAGACAGTTTAATAATGTCAGGAAGAAACAAACGCGCTTTACTGGGAATTATCAAAAAGGATAGGAAAATGACACTTTCAGATAGAATTCTCAATTTACACATAACAAAATCTCGCATAGCTTGCCAAATTTAACAGATGTCGTGTAAACAAAAAATTTATTATAAATATCACCTCCTAGCACACTGTTTATCATATTTTGCCTTGAATTGTTTTGCTATTAAATGTCTCCATAAATCATTCTTAAAATGCCTTCACAAAGTAAAAAACCTCATGCCAAAGTCATCTTACATTTCTGGAACAAGGGAGTACAATCTCCCAAAGAAATTCATAAACTCACAAACATCCCACTCCAAACTGTCAAATATTACATTAAAAAAATAACAGTGTTGCACATAAGAAAGGAAGCAGCTGTCCCAAAAAGATTAGTGGGGTTACATCTGTTGTTATTGGTCAATACGTAAGATGGGAACCCACTACATCATCTCAGAAATTGGAAGTGAAATTAGCAGAAAAAGGGTTTAGCATGTCCTATAGAATCATTTCAAAGCATCTGGGTAGCTTGGGTTATAAATACCTACTCCTATGCTTACCAAGGCACACAAGGAAAAACAAGTAGAATGGGCCTATGCTCATCTCAATGACAACTGGAATACATCCCTTTTTTCTGATGAAATGGCTTTCCAGTTATT